TTTATCACAATATTTGGAAGCACACTTTTATAAGTAATGAGAACACGGTTCGAATTTCAACAATCTCCACCTTGCTTCCAAATTCTTGGCCATAGTGCAGCCAGGAGCTTCACCAGCAGTTTATAATTTCATTTACTCATAGTACATGCATGATCAATAAGGAGAATCAATTGATAAAATCTTTAAGCAGTTTTGAAACTTGTTTAAAGGTATTACTTTTGTTCCCATGTCAGATGGATTATGCAATGTAGCAATTTTTACCAATCTTTAATAATCCTTTTGATATTACATCTCTTATCAAATGGTATTTAACATCAATATGCTTGGTTCTATTATGGAACATGAGATTCTTACTCAAATGAGTAGCACTTTGATTGTCAGAAAATAAGGTTGGATTAGTGTCCACAAAACCAAGTTCATATAGTAGGTCATTTAACCAAATACCTTCTTTAATGGCATCTGTGGCAGCAATATATTCTGCCTCGGTGGAGGATAAAACAACTACCTTTTGTAACTGTGATTTTCAACTCACAACAGTACCACAGAAAGTAAAGTAATAAGATGAGGTGGATCTCCTATTATCTTTATCTCCAACAAAGTCTGAGTCAATATAACTTTTTAGTGTTACCCCCTCTTTATTTATCTTAAACACTAAACCTATGTCAGATGAACCTTCCATTTTCTTTATTTCTAACAATTTGCATACCAAGAATCTTCTTAGTAGAGCCAAGATCTTTCATGTCAATTCTGATTTTAGCTTTTGCTTAATGTCATCAATTTCATATTTACAAGCACTAGTAATAAGCATATCATCAACATAAAGAACCAAATAAAGAGAATTCTTACCACCAGACCCTTTGCAATACAAACATGTATCATAATTGTTTCGATTAAAACCAAGTTTTAACACAAAGGAATCAAAACGTTTATACCATTGTCTAGGGGCTTGTTTCAACCCATACAATGATTTTTTTTCAACAGACAAACAGTTTTATTTGGATCACCTTTTCAAAAGCTATTGGTTGTCTCATATAGATCAATTCATCCAATTCTCCACATAGAAAAGCCATTTTTACATCTAATTGATCTAATTTCCATTCAAATTGAGCAACCAAAGCCAGAATGCATCTTATAGTGGTATACTTAACTACAGGGGAAAAAATCTCATCATAGTCAATCCCTTCTCTTTAGATGAACCCTTTTGCAACAAGCCTAGCTTTATATCTAATATTATTGTTGCCCCTTCCCCTTCTTTTATTTTATATATTCACTTGCAATCTCTCAATTTTTGATCCTTAGGTTTGTTAACCAATTCCCATGTTTTATTTTTATGCAATGAGGCCATCTCCTCATCCATAGCAGCTAACCAAATTTTTGAATCCTTAGATTTTATGGCATCATTATATGAACAAGGTTCAGATTCAATTTCATCCTGATAGGAGAACAATGAGACAAATTCATCAATATTAAACCTAGCAGGAGGTCAAATTTGTCTTCTTTCCCTATCTCTAGTTAGCTGGTATTCATCAGGTGGTAATACATGGTCATCATTGGGTTCAGATTCTGCCTGTTCAACATCAGTACCATTCAGGTATGCATCAGTATTTTCAGTTTCTATAGGGATAGTATTAATGTTATCAAGCTTGGTAGGCTCCACCTCAATTTGGACATCATTATCAGTTAAATTTTCTTTCTTTCCCTCTAAACATGACATACAAGACTCATTAAATATTACATCTCTCATTATAATAGCCATATAAACTTTTTCCCCATAAACCCACAATCTATATCCTTTAATATTTTCAGCATAACCCAAAAACACACATTTAAGGGATCTAGGTTCTAATTTCCCTATGTTTTGATGAGCATATGCAGCACAACCAAATGTTTTCAAGTAAGAGTATATCACAGGCTTTTGTGTCCACACAGATTCGGGTACATCAAAATTTAAAGCACTTGTACGACTTCTATAAATCAAATATGCAGCAGTTTTAACAGCTTCACCCCAAAATAATTTGGGCAAGCCAGAACTCAAAAACATGCATCTAACTTTATTCAACAAAGTCCTATTCATTCTTTCTACAATGCCATTTTGTTGGGGTATATAGGTCACAGTTCTATGTCTTAAAATATCATGCAGTTTGCACAACTCATTAAACTCATAATTGTAAAATTCTAAACCATTGTCAAACTCCATGTCATCCAACATTCCTAGAGACACTAGGTTTCTTTCTAATTCTGTAACAAATCTGGCACGTTTCAATAACAGAATTCTACCATTTTCCAAAAGTAATTTTATTGTTCCAATACCTTTCACTTTGCAGGTCATGTTGTTACCCATGATAACTTGGCCTCCCTTAGTTTGTTCAAGATCCAAAAAATAATTGTTGTTTGGGCATAGTGGTAAGAGCAACCTAAATCAAGAATTCATTCTTGATTTAGGTTCCTTTCAACATTTACATGGACCAGCCCATTATCACAACTCTCCTTATTATAGGACATAACAACATTACCTTCATTTGAATTCTTTCCTTTTAAATCATTTTGCTTTTTGTAACAATCTTTAGCAAAGTAACCAAGCTTACCACAATAATAACATTTCTTTCCCTTAGGCTTGGTTTTTTGTATTTCGTTTTGTCATTATTTCTTTTCTTAGGGTCATTTGAAAACTTTGAATGAAAATTAGATTTATCAACATTTTTTCCTTTGAACACAAGATTTTCTCCACTTTGATGGTTGATAGAATCTGATTTTAATTCAAGAACCCTATTTCTCAAGACATTTATAATGATATCTGTGGTAAGGCTATCTCTTCCATATTTCAAGGCATTCTTTAAGTCTTTATGTCTATCACTAATGGAGTTTAACAAGACCATTGCCAGCTAATCTTCTGATAATTTCTCATCACAATTGGCAAGGTCCTGGGTCAATTTAGTAAATCTGTCCAGGTTCTCATCTAAATCAACTGAAGGGTCCATTTTGAAAAAAAAAAAAGAATCGTTTTAGCAAAAAACATTTGTTTGGAACAGTTTTTGACTCATATTGGGCTTTCAATTTAGTCCACAATTTTTCAGCAGTTTTAGTTTCTCCTATAGTCCTAATCATATTGTCTGAAAGGTACAGAAAAATTGTACTCCATGCTATTTCTTCTAACTCAGTTCTTTTACCAACAGACATTTCAGCAGGCCAAGAATCATCTAAGGCTTTAGCACATTTCATTTGCATCAAGATAGCCCTCATTTTCAGACTCCACATATTAAAGTCCCCCCTCCCATCATACATTCTCATTTCAAACTTTAGCAGTAGCCATCACAGAATGTCAGGATAATGTACAAAGCACAAGTTTGAATTTCAAGAATACACGGAGGATCACACAGAACAGGACTACTTACAGATCACAGATTATTGTTAATCAACAATGCACTTAGTAAGATAATCTCAAAACAATGATCACTCGATTCACAGTAAAGAAGCAGGAACAAAAAATAGAGATTGCTATCCTATGTATCTCAACTGAATTTCTCCAGCAAGACCTTCCAATTGCACTCCTCCACCGTGTTGTTATCTCAGATTCCCAAGACTTCTTGGAGTCTTTGGACAAAGACCAATCACGGGAGGGTTTTACAGTACAAGGTAAATCAAGGAAAAATATTCAGGAAATGCAACAGGTAAAATTACCAGACACGAAGTATAGGAAAGATCTTACCAAAAGAATTTTAAGAACTCAAATTCCTTATGCTCGAGTTAACACAGTTTGAGGCAGTATTCGAATGCACAATTTCCTCGAAGATTAGGTATCATTCAAGAGGTCATGGCTCTGGTACCTCTGAAAGAACGAGAAAACTTCAAGATTAGCCACAATTTTATGATCGAGCCATTCAATAACAGAAATAAATGCAGAAAATAAAAGAATCAACATGAGGATTTTTTCTACCGTAGCCCCAGAGGTTCGGCGACCACTTTTTAACGCCTAATCCCCTGTTGAGCATCCATTATAAATGGATAAAACTCGGTTGCACTAATAGCCCAAAAATCGGCAGCAAGTATACAATATTACAAAGAACTAAACCACGAAGACTTATCTTTGCAAGAGCTACACGACAGACCAATATTTCACAAAGGAATCGAACAGATCACAAGATCTTTTAAAGGACCAGAACTGCACACGATGAATCACACAGATTCATCCAAATACCACATAAGATAGCACACTATTATGCAGATCTATAATGTCACAGTCATAGGCTTGAGTTGTTACAATATTCTCATTTGAAGAGTAACTGTGCAACCATAGTGAAAGATTTAATACTAACTTGTTACTTAAATAATAGGTGCAGGATTGACATCACGCAAAGAGAAATTTACTGTAGTTGATGATGAGAGACGAGTGAAGGAAATTGAGGTGGTTGAAGGTGGATTTCTTGACATGGGATTTACATTTTATTGTGGTCGATTAGAAGTTATAGAAAATGAAGAAAATTCATGCATTACTAAAGCCACAATCGAGTACGAGGTAGAGGAAGATTTTGTTGCTAATGCTTCATTTGCAACTATCAAACCATTGGTCGATATTATGGATGCTGCTGCAAATTACTTGGAAAAAAAATAATAATCGCAAGTCGAACAACATAATTAGCATTCCGTCTGTATCATTTGCGAAACATTTTATTACTGTTGTTGCATCCAAATTTTGCATTCTTCACTACACATTTGTAATATCAAACTCTAAGCTATGAAGGTGTAAAATATTTATTTTATAATTAATTTCTTTTGTTCAATAGCTAAAAACAGGTAATTTCATTAGAATGTACAAACATCATTTTTTGTGCATAAGTTGATTGATCGCAAACAAAAAATTGAAGGACAGTGTGATAAAATGAACAAATCCCTAAAAAAATAAAAATAAATAAAAATGTTACATAATTTCAAACTTATTACATTATTTTTCAGATATATTTTTTTACATAGGTTAAAAAATCGACCCAACGGTCCCAACCCACGCGAAGGTCTACCCGGAAGCGCAAATAATAAATAGAACCAAAATCTTGTTAATTTCCCTCTAAAATCGAACGCAGACGCTCGCAGTTGCGCGAAAGCGCACACAATACTGCAAACACGAAATTTGGATTGAAAACGGGAGAGGGAGCATTTCGAGATCCCAAGCTCTGTCCAGTGATAAATTTACATTGCGACAGCGCTAAATTTCGCCAGCGATTAATTATGAGGTACTTTTTCAAATTTAAGATCTCACAACTGCATTTTTATTCTCTGTTTGATTTCTCATTGATCGATTATTTGAATTTTAAGCGTTGAGCTTATAATAGGTTGACTCCGTGAATTTTAAAGGAATTTTTAGTTTGTACTTTATGCGTAGTTGTGATCTTCATGCGTGAAACGAGTAAGAAAACTTTGGATTAAATAGGAAGTGATTTATTATGTTAATCGAATTGTCTTGCTGTAAAAATTAAATTCTTTAGAGCTTGAGGACTTCCAGTAACTCGTAGTGCTATTATAGTGACAGTGTCAATTTTTTTAAAGCGTGTTAACTAAAATAATGGTTACAGGATTTTTAATTGCTTTGAATTAATTTGGAGTTAAATTATGAAATTTTGTTAAAAAAAAAATGAGGTATTGCAAAATCAAAAGCGGCTCTATGTAACGTCAGATGATTGTGGCATACGAATTAGGACTATGGTACCAAAGGACATGTAGTCTAAGAGCTTTACATCTTTTTGTGCGTAGACTGGATTGAGTTTGCTACTTTTTTAGTTTACACGCAAAAGTATTTTAATAGTTCTCTTCATACTTATTGGTCTTTAAATCCAATCGTGCTTCTTTTTAATGTTTAATCATGCTGTCTTTCTTTGGACTGTGTTTCACTCATTACTTTTTCTCCTTTGCTGGTGACAAATGGGAAATTCTCTCTAGTGAAATCGTGAATGTAAAAAATATTAAAATGTAGTACTTGAAGATTTCTTATGCTATTAATCAGTTTTGGTTTAACATATCCCGTTCATTATTCAGCTGGTAGAATAGTTAAAAATGTTGGATTCAAGGCCAAAAGCTAATATGGATGGAAGCTGTAGATTTGGAAGTTTTTGGAGAAAGTTGTTAAGAAAATAATTGCACAATTCGAGGTTGTGCACCTCCTAAGCAGAAAGAGGAGAAGAATTGAAGCAATTGGATTCCTTCATTTCGTTGTAAAGCTTTACATAAATAAGGGAGTGTGGATATCCCTCTTTGCCTCACAATTGGACACCTGTCCAGTTTGTTGTAATCAAAACAGAAATAACAAATAAAATACTTGGCTCAAGTAATTCTATTTTAATACTGATACTCCCTCAGCTACGTGAGTGCTTTATGTGTCCTTTTAGTTTATAAATCCTTCTCTTGCTTTGTTGATGTGGCAGCTATTCCTGTATCATTCCACACCCCTTTAGACACGACCTTGTCCTCAAGGTCAAAATTAGGCTAGAGAGCTTTGAATTCTTCAATTGAAATCCAAGTTGCATCTTCCAGCAACAGACCGTCCCACTGCACCAGTAGCTGCAGCTTGAGTTTCTCTCGATACGCACATGGCGAGCTCGAAGGATGGCAATAGGTTCAATGACAATTGTAGGTAGTTGTGCCACATGAATGTTTGCGTCATGTTTGTACGGCTTCAAAACTGAGACATGAAACATGGGATAGAGCCTGACAAGTTCCGGAAATCGAACACGATATGCTACTGGTCCCACTTGAGCCTGGATTGGAAATGGTCCATAGAAACATTTGCTAAGTTTAGTATAAGGTTGCTGTGATAACGTAATCTGTCGGTAAGGTTGCAGCTTTATCAACACCATATCGCCCACTTTGAAGTGTTTTTCACGCCTATGTTTATCAGCATATTGCTACATACGGTTCTGGGCATGTTGCAGATGTTCTTTCATTTCCTTTAATAGCTGGTCCCTTTTTTTTAAAGTTTCTTCCACAGCTTCCACAGCAGTATCCGGTCTCGAGCAAGGCAAAAGAGGTGGTGGGAGCCGACCATAGACCACCTGAAAAGGCATAATCTTGATTGCAAAATAAAAAGCTGTGTTGTAGGAATATTCTGCCCAAGGTAAATATTTGTACTAGTGTGTGGATGATCAAAAGTAAAACTATAGAGTTACTGTTCCAGCCCCCTGTTTGTGACTTCCGTTTGGCCATCCGTTTGTGGATGGTATGCGCTACTATACATCAACTTAGTTCTACTGAGGTGAAATAATTCTTGCCAAAATTTACTGACAAAAATAGGGTCTCGATCACTGATAATGGTAGACGGAGTACCATGCAATTTACAAATATTTTAAACAAAACTATTGGCGACCACTGTGGCATTGAAACCAATTGGAAGGGAAGCAAAGTGAGCATATTTTGACAGCCGATCGACCACCACCAAAATAGATGTAAAACCATGAGATAGCGGAAGTCCTACAATGAAATCCATTGTCAAGTCTTCCCATATTTGTACCGGAACCTCAAGTGGTTGCAAGGTCCCTGCAGGAGCCAAAGTTTCGTACTTTGTCTGTTGACATACAGGGCATGTTTGAACAAAATGCTTAATATCTTCCCGCATACGCGGTCATTCGAATTGTGACTGTACACGAGCTGTAGTTTGGAATATTCCATTATGCCCACCAATAGGTGTGTCATGTGACTCTCGAATGATGTCAACCTTGTGGTTAGATTCCGAGCTAACCATGATACGACCCTTGTGCTAAATTAACCCCTGATGTATCCGATGCAAGGTAAAGGCAGCACCATCTTTGGCAATGGCTTGCTGTAATTGAATGAGGTCAGGTAATTGTTTGGTCTCTAGTTTCAATTTCTCAAAAAGTTGACTAGTTTGTTGTGCCAGTGTTAACAACAATGTTAGCACTTTAGAAGTAGCATTCTCTTCATCTTTTCTAGAAATAGCATCTGCCACACTTTCTGGCTCTCGGATTGTAGACAATTTCAAAGTTGAAACCAATTAATTTGACTAGAAACCTCTGTTGCTCCGGAGCTTGAATTGTTTGTGACATCAATTCCCTAATACTCTTGTGGTCCGTTTTGATAAGAAATTTTCTGCCCAGAAGGTATTGACGCCATTTAGCCACTGCTTCTATAATTGCATAAAATTCTCGAACATAAGTGGAAGCTTGCTGCATTTTGGAATTTAACTTTTTGTTGTAATATACAATAGAGTGTGAAGCTTGAACCAAGACAGCTCCTATCCCAATCCCTGATGCATCAGTTTCTACATTAAATGTTTGTTCGAAGTCAGGTAAAGCCAGCACTGGGGCTTGAGTCATAGCTGATTTTAATTGTTGAAAGGCTTCGTTAGCTGCTGGAGACCATTTGAAAGCATCCTTCTAAAGTAATGACGTGAGTGGAGCGGCTATGGTTGCATAATGCTTTACAAAATGATGGTAATAACCAGTAAGACCAAGGAAACTGCGGAGCTGTCGAATATTAGCCGGTGTTTTCCACTGTAACATGGACTAAATCTTGGAGGTTTCAGACGCAACCCCATTGGCTAACACGATGTGACCCGAATATTCAATTTGATTATGTGTAAACTTACATTTGCTCCTTTTAGTCCAGGAATTATCCTTCAAGCAACCCAACACAAGCCGTAAATGTTCAACATGATTATTTAGTCCAGGAATTATCCTTCAAGCAACCCAACACAAGCCGTAACTGTATAGTAAAATATCATTAAAAAAAAAAAAAAAAAAGATCACAAATTTTCTTAGAAATGGTTTGAGCAAACTGTTCATGGCAGCCTGAAATGTCGAAGGCACATTCATAAGGCCAAAAGGCATTACAACAAATTCATAGTGACCTTCGTGAGTTCTAAATGCCGTTTTGTGAATGTCCTTGGGCTCCATTCGTATCTGGTGATATCCGGCACGGGGATCAATCTTGGAAAACACAGTGGCTCCGAAAAGCTCATCTAATAATTCATTGACCGTGGGAATAGGAAACTATTGGGTATGGAAACTCGATTGAGAGCTCTATAGTCGACACAAAACTGCCATGTGCCATCCTTCTTTTTCACCTACAACATGAGAGACGAGTAAGGGATTTTACTTGGTCTTATTACTCCAGATTTCAACATTTCTACTATGAGCTTCTCTATTGCCCCCTTTTGGAAATGAGGGTGTCGATATGGTCGAACGCTAACTGGTTTTGCTCCAGGTATAATATGAATTTGATGATCATGGTCCCGTTGAGGAGGTAAAGCTTTGGGATCTTCGAACACCTCCTGATTTCTGATTAAAACATTCTGTACTTCATCATTCAGTTCAGTCAGCTCACTTCCCAATTCTTCCCTAGATCATTCTATTGAAGTTAGCTGGTAACAACACATAACAGCATCAGTTGTCAACAGTCTCCTAAGTTGGTTAAAATGAATGGCCCTATGAGCAATAAGAGACTCGTCCTTGAGCTCTACTTGCTGCCCTTCCCAATGAAAAGACATGGTCAAAGCCATGTAATCCATCACTACTGGTCCCAACTGTTCAAGCCATTGTACTCCTAGCACGACATCTGCCCCTCGTATTGGTAAGATGTGGAAATTAACTAGAAATGATTGTTGTTGGATCCATATTGGAAGAGGTGGGCAACGCTCTGTGCAAGCTATGGACTCTCCATTCCCAACTAGTATAGAGAAATGTTTGGAGGGAAGAACGGGCACCCGTAAGTGTTGAACTAACCGCTCTTGGATGAAGTTGTGAGTAGATCCTCCATCTATCAGAATTTGAACTTTTTGCCCTGTGATTGTCCCTGTAAATCGCAAGGTGCGAGGAAAATGTTGCCCATCCATAGCATGGAAACTGATTGTAGGTGGTGGTTCCTCGACGATATTCTTATTTTCTTGGGGCCCTTCCAATTGCAACAACTGATTATCATCGAAACTTTCCTCATCTTCAAGCATCAATACAGAGAGTTTGGTGTTACATTTATGCCCCTTTCCAAATTTCTCATCAGAGTTAAAGCACAGCCCCTTCTCTCTTCGTTCCATCATTTCAGCCGCCGACAATCTCTTAACGGGTATACCGGAACTCTTAACATTAATCAAAGCATTACTCAGAGGAATTTTGGGAGTAGATAACAGGGGTGGACTGGGATATGGCTTGATATTTGGGACAAAAGTGTGCTTGCTGGGCAAATTTCTTATATCCATATCACTGAATTTATCTTCCATCAACTTAGCCAGATTTACTGCTTGGATAAGAGATTTTGGTTGTAATGCACATACCTCTCGTCGAATATCATGGCGCAACCCTGATTCAAAACAACTCCGAAGAAATGATGCCGAAACTCCAGTTGTTTGATTAGCCAGAGCCTCGAATCTTGATTGATAATCAGCCACACTAGTTGTTTGGATAAGCTTGGCTAGCTCACCTTGGATGTCTCCGTACTCCGAAGGTCCAAATCAAACCAAGAGTGCCTTAAGGAATTCCTGCCACGATGGAAGTAACCCATTACGGTGCATCCATTGATACCAATGCAATGCATCAGCATCCATATGAAAAGAAGATATAATCAAGCGTTGCTGATCTGGAGTCTCGTAAAAATCAAAAAACTGCTCTACCTTAAAAATTCATCCATGCAGATCCTCTCCATTGTAACGCGGAACATCGAGCTTCAAAGTTCTCATAGGTTGCATAGTATTACCCCCGCCTACGAATGCCTGCTCTTGTCGGATTGTTGGACTTGTAGCTGATCCTGATACATCAACACTGGGATTTCTCAGACTCTGCTCTATCCGACCTTCTATTGGCATCAATTTCAAGCTGGTTTCCTTGAGAATGTTGTCGAAAGAACTGAACTGCCTGTCATGCAACGCCAAGCGATTCAGGCAATCTTCAAGAGCTTGTGATACATAACTCGGGTTTGATTTACCGTGGCTGACCTCCAAGTTTTACTCTCAACAAGAGCACCAAATGTTAAGAAAATAATTGCACAATTCGAGGTTGTGCGCCTCCTAAGCAGAAAGAGGAGAAGAATTGAAGCAATTGGATTCCTTCATTTTGTTGGAAAGTTTTACATATATAATGGAGTATGGATATCCCTCTTTGCCTCACAATTGGACACCTGTCTAGTTTGTTGTAATCAAAACAGAAATAACAAATTAAATATTTGGCTGAAGTAATTCTATTTTAATACCGATACTCCCTCAGCCACGTGGGTGCTTTACGTGTCCTTTTAGTTGATAAATCCTTCTCTTGCTTTGTTGATGTTGCAGCTATTCCTGTATCAGTTGTCCAGGCTACTTCCACGGTCATCACCTGATATAATGGCAGATTACTCCATAGCCCCAATCCGAGAAGCTAAATGAAGGGACTGACTGGAAGGTCTGGCTACAAAAGTGAATATACCCCAAAATTGGAAGGCAATGATGTTATTTACACTAGTTTTTTATATGATTGTTGATTTTTAGATAGCCTATGATATTGCGTGATATGTGTAGCTCAAAATTTTCTTTGATTATATCAATATAGAATTGCTTTGAAATGCCAAGCTATTTGCACGCTTACATTATTGTAGTTGCTAATTGTTAAGTCGCATCACACTCTATGCCTTCACATTGGTTTTGGCCAAAAAAAAGAAACAATTGGTCACCATCTCGTATGACACTTAAGTCATCTATTTCTGCATTCTCTGCATTTACAACTTTTGTAAGATTGTATTCTCCGAATTCTTGACCTGCAGAATCACAAGGAAAGAATGAGGATATAAAACTATGGAGTGTTTTTTTTATTTTATTTTTTTACCATTATACTCGGTATTCCTCGAGGTGAGTGCATGTTTCCTTCTTGACTTATTGAATTGTCTATTTCATCAAGTTTAATCAAATTTATAATGTGCACTTGAAATTGCCTCTATAGAGATTAAAATGCTTACCTGCTATTTTAAATAGCTCGTCCAGCGATTCAGGTAGCATAATTAGCTTTCGGTGCTGCTTTTGTGAGATATCTTTCTTTGGAAACTTCATGTGAATGGTGACTCTCTTCCTGGCTGTAACTTCTAGACTACTGTGATGAAAACAATTGCTAGAACTGACATACATAGGTTTCCTATTACTGCCGTTGAAATAATTAGCAGCCCCATTTTTTGTCTGCTCAATATGACTACTACTGGCTTTTTCAGCTACTTCTGGCCCAAGGAACTTGACTTTGTGATCATCTACTTTCTTCTTCTTTTCATATCTCAGTATAAGGTCGTGTATTCCTTTGTAGTCACGTTGTTCTGCTAGTGCTTTTGGTGTCCACCCCCTCAAATCTGGTTTATTCACATTTGCTCCTTTTTCCAGCAAAATTCTAACCATTTCAAAATGCCCCTGGCGAACAGCAACATGGGGAGCTGTTTCACCATCCTCAGCTGATGAATTTATGCCTATTTGAGCCCTATTGGCATCATAAGCATTTCTAGGTTGTTTCCTTCCTACAAAATCTGAATTAGATATCTCTACTCTCAATCCCTGTTCCTGTCTATCGCTGTAGGGGTTATCTTGATATCCAGCATGGACATAGCAGTCTCCTTCTGCTCCATTAAGCAAATTACTTTGGAAAAATCTTGGATCCTGTTGGCCCTCTACATCAAAGCTTCTACAAGTTTTTAGTTTCTGCAAATGAAAATAGTGCTCCCATTGGAGTTTGCTTTAAAGAAAGTAGGAATGAACTGTTAGGTTATGTAAATAGATTTGTGTTTGGATAAAAAGTTGGTTTGACCAGAAGTGTTAATAAATTAAACGATACCAGATGAGGGCTTACCTTGAACAGATTATTCATAATAATATGCTCATCTTCTGGGTTTGTTTGAAGAATGTTCAGTAATGTGGTCCGGTTCACCCGTAGTATTTGAGAAACATCAGTTGTTCGAACACCAAATGGCTGAGGTTTTCCACATAAAACCCCTATTTCTCCAAATATTTCTCCTGGAGCAGCCTTTTCCACGACCTGTATGTATGATGTGTATAATGTTTAATTCTACAGTAGTTGATTTTATTCATGATTAAGGTAAGGAGTAGAGATTTCTTACTTGATCATGCCCATCAATGTTTTCAATCGAATCCTACCATCACAGGAAAAAAATCAGATAGGAATGCAAGAGAAGTTTTTTTTGTTATACTTCCCCAAAAAAAATTTACTAGCATACTTACAACAGCGCCTGAGACCAGTACATAAGTAAATGTTGGCGTCTCATTTTGTAAAATCAAGTCCTCTTTGGGAGGGTAGTACTCAACTTCCATTTCCGCAACCTGTTTCGCAGAATGCAGGAATATATAATTAATTAACTTGCTCATCTGTTCTACTGGTTCTCCATAGAAGAATAATGAATTCTTGGCTTGCAAAAGGAAGAATGAGTGAGAGGAGGGGGAAAATGATACCAGTTGGAAAAGGAACTCTTGCGACACTCCCTGGAAAAGAGGGACAATTTGAACAATAGGGTAAAATAGATAGTGAGCAATGCTGGAACGAATGGCTTTTGGCAGGCCATTCAAGGTCTCTTGCTGTTTCAGTCCTTCTCTTTTGAACTTGAGACATATGTGGGACAAAATTTTGTCTTGTATATGTTGTGGCAACTGGTTCCGTTTTGTAAATTCAGAAGCTGCTCTTATAGTATCTCTCTGCAGCACCAAAACCAAGTTCCTCAGGAACAGTTGAAAAGTTTCTCTAAATTACTTGTGCAGCTGAGTGTGTTGGTTGGAAGGGGGTGGTTTGTCTTTGGTTAAAGAATTCCTTCATGAAAAATGCTCATTGTCAACCAACACGAGTTAGGGGTTACATGCCTTGTAACTCATCGAAGTTGCCAATGAAAAGTTGTGCACGTTTATGATTGTGTGATAACGTCAGGATACAATTACAATTGGCTTGGTTTCAGGATCAAGTGGTAAATGTTAATTGCAACATATGTTCAGGTTTTCCTTAAAACCTGCTTGACATTTAAAGTAACTCGGTGTTTGCATGTGTTGTGATAGAGAGGGAGAGTGAAATCATACAAAGTTTCTGGTGTGGCTGGACCAGTGAACTACAAGATTTGTCATGTTCCCTATGAGGTAAGCTGTCAATCCCAAGTTAAGCAGCATGTAAAATATATAAAACAGCATCTCTCTTGGGTTCTCGGCATGCAAGTCCCCATAACCCGTCGTGGTTAGTGTCACTATAGACCAATAAATTGCAGTTACATATCTGTCCCAGAGGCTAATATTTTTAAAATTGGGATACACGGCACCAATCCAAGTACTTTTTGGATCAGGGTATCTGTCTGCAATAATGTAGTTAAAGCAACCAGCACAATGTACAGTAAACAAAGTTACCTGATTCAAATAAGAGAAGTAGCAATTTTATCTCAGTGGAAAACACATGCAAGTAGATAGAACAATAACTATTGAACATGTGAAACAAGAGATGTCTTACAGAAATGAGTTTTGTGCAGCGAGTCCAGAAATAATTAAACCGAATGTCCTTTTCAAGTCTGAAGGAAATCAAACTGGCTTAAGTGAGGATTTGTTTTGTCCAGCAGGTATTCAAAAAATTTAGAAGAAACCAAAGAGTTCGACGTGGTGATGGACCTTGCAAACATGGAGCTGACTCGTCTGAGACGCCAAAGTCGTAACATGCTGAGCAATTTAAAGCCTAGTCCATCACTATGATATGTGAAAAGGAGGCTGAGAGCTCGAAATGGTACTGTTGAGCAGACATCAAAAATGAACCAGGTGGATAGATACCTGTTAGCCAGATATAAGACAGGTAAAAGAATTACTTCTAGATTTTGGTAAAGAATTTCCTGACTCTACACAGGTAGAGGCTGCTGCTTGTGTTACCTTATAGCAATTTTTCTTGGATCATCAACTAAAAGATAAGTTTGTTTTTCGAGATATGCCACGAAGAAGGTGAGAAGAATATCAATGAAAAAGAAGCTGTTAACAATGTTGTCAAAAATAAAAAGAGCATCATGCTTGAAAGTCGAAAATGCAAACTCAAATGGAGAAATCCATGCCGAGTAAATGACCAAGAGAACTAGAAACATCTCCCAAGCCCTGAAATGAAAATATATTATGAGAACCAGTGGCTTCCTTAAAACAATCTAGCTTTGAGAGTTGAAGCAAACTCATCACCTATAGCAGGGACTGAATGGGGAAATTATGTGTCCACGAAGTTTTGTTGCTCGGTTGATTCTGGCTCCAAGGGATGGGAGGAGATCACTAGAAAAGAAGCCACTATAGGTTTGTGTATTCATTTTGAATTCCTCCATGAAGAACCGTCTTAGGAAATTCTTTGAATATGAAAACAACATTTGGGATTGAATGAATTTTTTAAGGCTAGAATAGGCTGTTAAGCATGGAATGTAAGTCTGTGATGAGAGTCCATATGTAGCAAAACCATTGGTAGATGTCATGGGTAAAGAGACACCTTTTTGCCCCAACTTTCCCTTTGAGGAAACTTGCTTTTTCTCCACATATATACCCTGAATGTAGACTGAAAGATTATGCAACTAATATATTAGTAAGGGCACGAGTCGAGAAGAGAAAATTTGAAAAGGAAATAACTTTTTGTACTCTGAACAATTCGAAACAAGGCAATATTACTTGCATGGGATGGAAGACTGGAACCCAAAAGGTAGACACAAGTCTCTGAGTAATACAGTTGCGGAGATTAAATTTTGAAAGAGGGAGAGACAGAGAAGCAAAGGAAATGCCGGATGGGATGGTGCTGGTGTTGATGGCAATGGTGGGAGCTCCATCATCAATAAATGTTGGATGTTGATTATAAGTACAGACATTTAAAGGACAGAGATTTAAGTGAAAATTAAATCGGTGTATTCATTTCAAAATCTTGAATTGAACCAACAAATTTTATGGATCATTGGACCAATAGGTGTGTCCTTTCTATGAGAAATGAGTGACATTAGGAGGAGCCCTTCTTAACAACTCTAATTTCGACATATTTGTTGTCTCTTAGTAATGGCTTAAACGTTTTAAATGTTTGTTTATGGTACGCAATCAGAACCATATGTATGAAATGGATTGCTGCCATAAATCCAACCTCACTCTTGCCACGGGTATGAATTGGCTCTTTTGTGATAATGCAGTTATATGTACTGTTGTTGACATTCGCCCACCTTCTTTTGAGTGATTCTTGTCATTTCTTGAAAATCGATGTTTAGATAGCATGCTTGGCTATGCTTGAAAGTAAATTTATTAGGCTTTGCCAGCATGCAGAGACTTGAATCTTTCCTTTTCTTTTATTTATGTGCTTGTGGGGTTGGCGTATGTAGATATGATTTTGAAGGAAATTTTCACTCAAATGATTTTCATATTATGTATTAACTTTGGAGGGTTCATGTCATAATCTTGTGCCCCATGTTTAACAAGGAACATACACGTATACTCGTGAAATTGGTTGCGGGAGTAAATAAAATATGTACCTTATTTTGTACCAGGGTGGTGCTCTTATATGCAAAGTTTAACTATTTTATCAAGATTCATAATTTGTGTTATACACAGATCTTTTGCCGACTCAATTTTAAATTCTAAAAGCATGTCCAATAGACTTTCTATTTTTAAAGAGCATATTCTTTAATTTAAAGAACATCTTTAAATTTAGAGAGTGAAAATTTTGAAGTATTTCAACTGGCTCTTTATATATAACACTTAATTTATTACTCTCAAAAAATATTTATTATTTTTCTCTATCTTTTATTTTAATTAACTTTTCGCTAGATTATTGTATAATTTTTCTATATTGAAAATTGAAATACTTTGAGTACATTTAATTATAGCGAGTGGGTTTGGCTCTCCAAATTTGGAGAGTCAAACACAATATTTAAATTAAAATGTTAATTTAAAAAGTCTTTTGGAATGTGATTTCAAAGATTCTCTCTTTAAAATAAAGGGTATTTCATGTTTAAAAAGTCTTACATGTTGGCTGTTGGGTCCTAAATTTATTTTAAATGGTAATACATATAATCAAGTCGACACATTTATCCCTGTTTGGCTATTATTGACAAGATTATTTGTAGTTGAGCCACGTGAGCCAATCTAAATGCAACTAATTTAATTTCTAGCCACTTACTGTCATTTAATAAAAAATCTTCTTTATATCATAAAATTAAAATGATATAAAGAAGGTTAGTGTCCAGATTTAATTTTGTTGTCTATTCAATTAAATTTTAACATGTTATCTCTAACCCATTATATTGATGATGCATCAATAATTAATTAGATGAACGGTAAATTGGACAGTAAATCTCAATTTGAATAATAGCATGGCCCTTGCATAGAAATGATGTACAAGAATCATTATTGTTGACATCAAATTTTCGGAGGATTCATGCCTGTTGTATAACGTTATTAAGCAAAATCATTGTCACGTAACTAGGAAATAAATGTGTTTCGATGGACAATGATTTAGACAATACAATGTATAGAAAACATGGTAGTTTATCTTGTGGGGCTATTTCATGATCCCCCCATGAAACGTCCTATACTTATGGTATTTAGATTATGAATGGTGTGAAGAGAAACTGGAAAAAGAGGTAAAAGAACTCCCCCAAATTTTCGTGTATTATTCAAGAAGAATCGGGGAAGCCAAGAAATTACCATCAACTTTCGTTAAGTCATAGGAAATGAAACGGTTTGTTATAATTTAATGTTTTTTCCTTGAAACATAGAGATTCGCCGTTTATTAATGTAAATAAGTAAAACATCTGAATCTTCCTAATTAGGCAAGTCATTATATCCTAGTTTTCATTTACGCGTACATCTTGCTTTCTTCGGCCTAATTTTGAAGTTTGGTCCATTGTTGAAAAATTATTCTAAATTTCATTCCTTTAGACTAACTTACAATAAATAGTATGATTCCTTTATAATTATATTTAGAATTTTTTTTTGGGACTTTTTCAATCAGTTCTTTTATTGTGAAAAGTTAAGGCCCTGATCTCTTTACCGTTTTCGAGTCGTTTTCTGTTTTCGATTTTTCAAAACGTTGAAAACGTGTTCTCTTTCTCGTTTTCGAAAACGAAAAAAAAAATTTGTGAAGAAAATACAAAACGATTTTTTTGTCGTTTTGGGTGTTTTCAGTGTAAAACTTGAAAAAATTGAAAACGCGGGAAACACCCTTTTTTTTCTTTTTTTTAAAGGAGGTGGTGTGGTGATTCTCAAAATTTCAAAAAAAAATAAAAAATTAAAAATTAGTTTTTTTTTTTTTTTTTTTTTTTGTTTTTGGGTGGGGTTGTGGTGGTTCTCAAAATTTTAAAAAAAAAAAAAAAAATAAAAAATTTTTTTTTTTTTTTTTTTTTTTTTTGTGTTTTGAGGTGGTGTTGTGGTGATTCTCAAAATTTCAAAAAAAAATTCATTTTTTTTTGTTTTAAGAAACTAACAAAAAGAACGCATTTTCAACAATTTCAAAACAAACACTCAAAACACAAAATTCAAAATGAATTCAAAACTCAAAACACAAAATTGAAACACAAAGAGAACACCTCCTAAATTTCTTTGTTTTTCTAATTTGACTCTCAACTTTCAATATAAATGGCAATGCATATATTTGAACATTATTCCAGATGAGGACGGAATTTAAAAATAATAAATCAGTAAATTTAATGAGCATGAATAACTGATTACATTAACAATTAATGGTTTTAAAGATTGGTGCGTAAAAGTTGTCCTATCATAAATACTGCATAGGCACATTGGTTTATTGTTTGTGCCATGAGTGATATGCCAAGTTTTTGGCAGACCTCCTCGTGTGCCTTAATGAATCCATGCCCAAGAAGATTCTAATCAGAATTATATTTTTTTGTAAGGGTCCGCTTGGGAAGGTTTTTGAAAAGTTAAAAGCTGCCTTGGAAACAAAGAATATATTTCTGAATATATTTTGATAATTTATTTGAATTTTGGCCTTCTAATGGTCCACCATTTTTATCGATATAAGCGATGGCATTTTTCCTTTCCTCGAGAGATCAAATTTGCCTCTAAATACAATAATCAATCTTACTCGTCAAATGGCACCAAAAATAAGTCACATTTTTCCACCTGGCTTGCACTAGAGAATTCGTCAACACTACGAGGGAATAAGTCAATTCACTTTGAAAGAAAATGTTTACTAATTCCACTCTTAGACACATGATAAAAGATAGAGGAAATATTCTTGCTTTTCTTAATAAAAATGGAGTAGTAATGAGTGTGAGCTTCGAAAATTTTGCTTTAAAAAGCAATTTTCCTTATCGTGAATTTTCCTAACTTAGACAAGACAAATTAGGCATGTTATATCCACATCTACTAATATTCGGATCGAGCAATAAGCACTCACAAAGTTTAGTCTTTCTCATTGAAAATGCCCAACATGGTCTTGTGCTCCTTTGTTCTTCCACTTTATACAGTATGTTATTATTTTCCAAAATTAAAAATTAAAAAATATATATATCGCAATGAGACCATTTTGTTTAAGAAATTATTATATTAATTTTTTTTAGTTTTTGTTTGAGCTCCATTTTTTTTTCATAAAATACATTTTGGAATAGTGTTATAATAGAGAATGTGTAGTTAATAAATAAGCAAAAGTTTTTTATTTACATATAACATTATTTTATTAAAAAATGTGATTGAAATAATGTCAAATCACTGTTGAAAAATATATTTTGATAAAGAAATAGGGCTCAAACAAGGGATTAATCTTAATAGATTAAACTTTTAAATTATATATCCGTTTAATAAGTCGACGTACTATTCTAAAATTGACGCCATCCATTGTTATTATTGCACAGCCCTAAAATCTTCATCAACATGACAACATTGTTGCATAAGGTACAGTTGGTGACTATTAATCATTTTTTATGTTTTGATGATAAAGTTAGCACTATGATTATTGAACATGGAAAATCCGAAAATTTATGAATTATTGGGTTGATTTGAAGTAGAATCCGAAATGAATCTTAAAGTTAGGAATTTATCAATAAAATTTGTTAGTTCATATATCATGTATTCTAAAAAGGTGCTTAGCTAGTGGATAGCCTTGAGATGTGTCTAAAACTGGAAATCTCTCTCTCTCTCTCTCTCTCATACACAGAGTTATAATTAAAACAAACATATATTTTACTTATTTTATGTCTCTCTCTCTCTCTCTTCAAAGGTTGAACCTCAATTTTGAGGGTCTGCATCGCTCCGTCCCTATAACTTTGTGAGGGAGATAAATCGCGGGATGTGCCTCAACAGGCCAGGAAACAAGAGCTATCTGTACACTGCACCTACAAGGAGTCCAATTCCATATTTCAGGAATCGAACCCCCACACTGCGGCTACCAACAAGGCGTGAGATAACCTCACTTCTATCTTTTGCACCACTAGACTATACCCCAGGGCCTCTCTCTCTCTCTCTCTCTCACACACACACACACAGAGTATAATTAGAACAAACATATATTTTACTTATTTTTATGTTTAAATAATGATAGACTTTCTCTTAATAAAGGCATTGCCTTCCACGAAACATAATTATTATAGGGGAATTTTCAAAAATGTCACAAAATTAACGAGGTCCTCAAAAGTTGTCATTTTCACTTTATGTGAACAAAAATATCACTTTTGTGTGAAATGTCCAAATTACCCTTAATGACATATTTTCATTAGCATTTAATGCTTGATTTGAAAGAATTGATTATATTGATGTGATGATTTATTTTATATATAAAAAATATGGATAAATGTATATTATATTGATTAATATGAATTTGTGTTAATAAAAAATGGTAAAAGAAATTTAAAATGAAACATAAACAAATATATCTTCATCTTCCCTTACAAACCCTAATTTTTCTCATCTTCTTCATTTCATTGATCAAAAAGATTTTTCTCTTGCATTCATAATCCATTTTGAGAGGTTAGTTATTAGAAAATATTTATATTTTACTTCTACAGTTTACTGTTTTGTAAATATTAAATACAACATGGACATATTTACTTAAAATTTTTGAAACTATTATTCATTGATTTTTTTTTTTTAAATCCTTCACAAATGTGATTATCACTATTAAAGTTTTGAATATTTTCTTCCATTCAAACCAAATAATGTTTTCATTAAATGTCTCTTCAATAACAAGGCCAATCTGACATTTTTCATCTAGCTCAATACTAATTATCACACTTAATGTGTTGTGCTGAAGATTATGTTCTACCCACTGTCATTTGCTTCTCGACATTTTCGACGGTTCAACTGTCGAATTTGACATTTACAAACCGTCGGATTAGACGTTTGAAATGTCGAACTCGACATTTACAAACTGTCGG